CCCTCCACGCCGGTGAGCGGCGGGCGGGCGGCGCTGCTGGGGCCGGGCGGGCGCCTCCCAGAGCGGAGCGTCCTGTCAGCAGCCGCGCCTCCTCTCTCTCTCTCCCCTGCAGCTGGTGGGCGTCCGTGTCCCCAATCACCGGTTTGTCAGGGACCTGGCCAGGGCGTGTGGTGCTCCTCTGGCTTTAACCAGCGCCAACGTCAGCGACAGGGCGAGCAGCCTCACGGTGACGGTAAGAACCTCTTGAGCGTGGGAGCCCGCTCCTTCGGAGCCTGTTCCGAGGAGGCTGACGGTGAGATGTCGCTGCCCCAAAGGGTGCCCCTATTACGGAATAGGGCGATGAGCACTTGCTTGTGAGAAGTTGGTCCACTGTTGTTGGGAACAGGCAAGCCTTGTGTCTCGTGGTTCCGATCTGAACCTAACTTTGCTCTGTGCCTTCTTTCTCCCTGATTGATTGATTGACCGATTGATTTCTCACATGTGTAAACAGCTTCAGTCAAGGCTGTTCTAAGTGGGCTATGAAAACAGTGCGATAGTAAGAGTCATGTGCAGGAACAGAGAGATACAGTATACAGCAGGGTTTCTCAACTGGGGTTCCCTGGGAGATCATGATTTATTTTTAGAATGCAGAGACTAAAGAAAAACCCTCCAATTTTCAATGCTGGATTGGCCCACCAGATTGCATGTGGACTCTGAGCAGGAGCATGGATTGTGCGTGCAAGCAGGGAGGTGAGGAGTGAGCCAGGGAGAGGAGAGAGGACAGTAGGTGGTGAAAGAATGCTCAAGAGAGAGAGACGCTGCCGGGGCCTCCATGCTGGAGCTCTCCTTGCTGGCACATGCCTGCCTTTCTGCAGGTGCAGCGGCCTGGGGGCTCTGTCTCAGGGCAGGCGCAGGAGATCCGGGACTAGGCTGGCCCAGACACCAGCAGCAGCAGGAGCCACCCACAAAAGTGGGGAAGGGGCAGGAGGCAGGGGAAAGGAAAAAGTGGTGATGGTGGTGAAGACTTCAGCATCAGGGTGCCAAGATTTCAGGAGAGGTTGAGGAGTCCAAATTTTAAGGGGAGGGGTGTTGGAGGTTGCAAGGCATCAGCCCACCTTTAGTTTTGAAAGGGGTCCTTGGGAGAGGAGGTGGAAAGAGGGACCAGAAAAGAGAAGCTGGATTTGGGGAATGAGGTGCTGGTGGTGCAGGGAGAGGGGAGGCGGCTGGCTGACCTGATTCAGTGTGCCGGCGTCATCTGTGTCCCTCTGATGCATTTTGCCGTTATCATTCATGGCAGTTTGATATATCGCTCAAAAACTCTATGTGCCCTTAAAAGTAGCTCAAAATAGCCCAAAAAATGCAACCTGCAAAGGCCAAAAGTTTCCCACAATTTATCTCCAAAACTCAAGTTTGGCCCAGAATTGAGTATTTATACAGCCAAAAACAAGCCCAGGTTTCACATTAAAGAGGTAAGTTTCATTCTTTATTTTTTAGTTTAAGAAGACTGTTAATACACACGTGCGAGCCTACTGTCAGGCCCAGCCCAAGAACAACGGTGAAACAGTCCAGTTGAGCTCAGTTCCTTTATTTACGCCTTATAGACAGAATCTTGCCAGACTAAATCTGTACTCCTGCAACAAGTGGATACACCCTGGGAGATTCTAGGGAGTGGCTGTCCTGAACCTCTCATGCTTCCTGTGCTCCACCTCCGTACTGTGTTGTCTTTTGTCTCCTTGACCTTCCTGGAATGCACCCTCTCCTTCCTGATAGCCTTGCTCTCAAATATCCCCCTCCTCTTCGTAGATACATTCCATCGCGTCTACACATGAAACAAATACAGTAATTTTGTAACTTCTGGGCTATATTTGAGCCTGAATGTGCAGTTCCCCAAGGCCTGAAAAATATTTCAAGGGTTCCTCCAGGGTCCAAAGGTTGAGAAAGGCTGGTATACAGCAACAGTTAATACAGTATTCTTGGCACTGGAAGCTCTACAGCACTCAAATCCCAAAGGACTTCCAGAACAGCCAAGTTTTTACAAGCTTCTGGAAGACCAGGATACTGGGACGTACCCTTGCTTGGGGCCAGGAGGCAAGCTGTTCTGGAGGAGAGGAGCCCACCCGTTGCATCTTTTTAACAATGGGGGTGTTTGGCAGATTGGGTAGGTACAGTCCATTTGGGATAGGTGGTCAACCAAGAGAGCAGCTAATAGAGTTTCAATCTTTTGCCCAGGCCTGAATCCTGCCTGCCTTCTTCCAGATCTCTCTGTAGCTGTTACACCCCCACCCACCTTTTTCCACAACATTCCCTGTGAAGTGTGCTGAGCGGGTTCTAGGAGCTAATTTCTTATGTACCTTTTCTTTAGGAATTTCAGGAGCTTTGGCCTCACCTTTCCCTGGTCGTTGATGGGGGTCCAACTGGGGATGCCCTTAGTCCTGAGTGTCGTCTAGGTTCAACTGTGGTTGACCTCTCCATCCCTGGAAAATTCAGGGTTATTCGACCAGGCTGGTAAGCCACCTGCTATCTTAGGGTTGTTAAGTAGCTTGTGTGGATTACACTGTTTGGTTCCTGTGAAGAGGAAGCACTTTTGTGATCCAAAAGAGTTGAGGATTCAGAAGAGATGCAGTTATGCACATGATTCCCATAAGCAGCCTTCTAATTTCTGCAGGTCCCATGTGGATTGGGGAAACCCAACTTAATTGTACTGACTGTAATTGTTATCATTACATTCCAGAATATTACAGTGAGAATTTTCCCCCCAACCCTATTTCTTAATTATCTCTTCTTTCTTTTTCCAGTGCACTTACTCAAACCATTGAAATCCTGGTATCCAAGTATGGGTTGACAGCTGAGGTGTCTGGGAACTGAAATATAGGAATTTGGGGACACCTAAGTGTTGTCAAGCTTTTCCCAGCCAAGAAGGCAAAGGATTTATCTCTGACAGTTATGGGTGTAAAGG